TATGCAAGAGCCGGTGAGAGCCTGAACTAGAGTTGTGGCTTTGTGAATAATGAGAAAGGCATTATGTGTAAGAAATGTGAAGGCAGAAATGACAGGATTTGACAATGGATCATATATGTGGGGTGAGAGTGAGGAGTTATACACTGAGGAATCAGACATGGAGGTTGGGATTGTGGGTGACTAGCAGATTGATGTTGCCCTTGATAATAATAGGAAAGTTTGGAAGAGAAGGTTTTGGGGGAAAGGTGGTATATTCTGTTTTGTACATGTTGGGTTTGAGATGCCTTGATCCAGTTCAAGATATGCAAGAGGCAATTAATATTTTGGGAGTGACTTCACGCTCACGAGAAGAGACTGAGTTTGATATATGCATTTAGGAATCATCTACATAGAGAAGATCACTGAACCTATGGAGTTCATGATGAGATCACCAAATGAAATAGTAATAATAATAATAATAATAATAATAGCCAGCATTTGTATAGCACTCTTTAGTGTTGCAAAGCAGGGCACGCACAGGAGTTATATAAACACCTACTGCAGAACACTCTTGTCAGAAATAAATACACTTAGAGAATTGATTGGGAGTTGGGTCATGCCAATATAATAAAAATGACTGTATTATCTAAATTATCTTATAGATTCAGTGCCATATCAATCATATTACCAAAGGGTTACTTTACAAAATAACAACAAAATTCATCTGTATGGACAAAAGGTCAAGAATCTTAAGGAAAATAGGAAGGTAAGGGGGAATGAGTGGGAATAAACATGGCTTAACATTACCAAATTTCAAACTATACTGCAAATCAATAATCATCAAACCTATTGGTACTGGTTTTTAAAACACTGAGAAGTCTGTGAAACAGATTATTAGGTATACAAGATGTAGAAGCAATTGAACGTGGTCACATTGTGTTCAGTAAACTGACTTCAACTAATGGGGTAAGGACTTGCTAGTGATAAAACTTCTAGGAAAAATGAAAGCCCCTTGGGATAAATTAGACTTAGACCAACATCTTATACCCTAATAAATTCCACATAGATACATGACTTAGACCAGAGAGTCTTGACCTGGGAGGAGATCTGTGAACTTGGATGGAAAGAAAAAAATTATATCTTTATTTTATTTTTGATGAGGCAGTTGGGGTTAAGTGACTTGCCCAGAGACACGCAGCTAGGACGTATTATGTGTCTGACGCCAGATTTGAACTTGGTCCTCCTGACTCCAGGGCCGGTGGTCTATGCACTGCGCCACCTAACTGCCCCTATATCTTTATTTTAATGTAATTCTTTTCCTTTGTAATCCCCTGTATGTTACTTTATGCATTTAAGTATTCTGGCTTCTGACCTAATCATTCAGCTGAAACTATTCTCTTCAAAGTTACCAGTAATCTCTCTCTCTTTTTTTAAATAACCAGTTTATTTTTAGTTTTCAACATTCACTTCCATAAGATGTTGCGTTTCAAATTTTCTCCCCTTCCTTCTCCTTCCCCCTCCCCAAGATATAGGCTCTACTTATACGTTCATATTAAGCATATTTTCCCACTAGTCATGATGTAAAGAAGAATTAGAACGGATGAGAGGAACCATGAGAATGAAACAATAAAACAAAACAACAAAAGAAAAGGGAGAGCAAATAGTATGTTTTGATCTTCATTCATACTCCATAGTTCTTTCTTTGGATGTGGATAGCATTTTTTATCGTGAGTCTTTTGGAGTTAGACAAGTCTATCAAAGTCAGTCATCGCACAATGTGGCTGTTACTGTGTGTAATATTCTCCTGGTTCTGCTCATTTCATTCAGCATCAGTTCATGTAAGTCTTTCCAGGTTTTTCTGAAGTCCACCTGCTCATCATTTCTTATAGCACAATAGTGTTCAATTACATTCCAGTAATCTCTTCATCATCAAATCTAGTGGCCTTTTCTCAATCTTCATCTTTCTTAACTTCTCTGTAGCCTTCTATACTGTCTGGCACTCTCTTCTTTATACTCTCTACTCAGGGTTTTCTTGATGCTATTTTTTGTTGTTGTTGTTTTCTACCTGCCTTTTGGATCACTCCTCAATCTGCTTTACTATTTCTTCATCCAGGCCATTCCTTCTTCTCTTTTCCTTCCATACTATTTCACTAAGTGATTTCATCTGCTCTCATAGGTTCATTTATTATCTCTGTGTCTAGCCCTGTCCTCTCCTGACCAGATCTTCAGTTTCATATCTCTAGCTGCTATATCTTGAACTGGATGTCCCTTACACATCTTAAACGTAACATGTCTAAAACTGAAGTTATTACCTATTTCCCTCAAACACCCCCTCCTTCCTAATGTCCTGTTACCACCATCCTCCCTGGTCCCCCAGGTTCCCAACCAAGTTGTCATCTTCAGATTCTTACTTTCTTCCACCCAACCCATTCTGTTGACAAGGCATATCAATTTTACCTTTGTAATATCACTTCTCTGTGGGGGAATACATTCTCTTTTCCCCTTTGACATTTGATTACTTGAGTCTGTGGTTTGTCCGTAGTTGCTTGTATGTTGTCTCCCTCATTAGACTATATTCTTTGAGCGCAGGATTGCTTTTGTGCTTTTCTTTGTATCCCCAGATCCTAGCACAGTGCCTGGCACATAGGTACTTAATAAATTCTTTTTGGCTAACTGGCAGTGTCTTTGAAAACAAATTATTATGAGTAGGCTTTACTCTCTGTAAAAGCTTATGACCCAAAAAAAGTTAAGCACCTTACCTAAATAAAAAAAGGTCACATAAACAAAATTAAAGTAGGAGATAACCTTTTTCAGCTATGAATAGAGAAACAGTTCTTAGCCAAATATTTGATAGATATGATTATAGAAAGGTAAAATGAACAATTTTGATAACATAAATTGAAAAGTTTTTGCACAAAATCAGTACAGCTATAATTAGAAAGGAGAGTTAACTGGGGTAAAATGTGTACAGCAAATTTCTCTGATCTCAAGATGTGATATACGAGATATATAGCGGATAAAAAAAAAAAAAAAAGAACAACAGCCATTTCCCCAATAGATAAGTGGTCAGAGGCAGTTCTCAAAAGAAAAAAGGCAAGCCATCAATAAATACATTAAAATAATATTCGAAATTAGATAAAAGCAAATTGTCACCTCTGAAATTCTACCTCACATCTATCAGATTGGTAAAGGTGACAAAAATCGAAAATAGTAATTGTTGGAAGGGCCTATTCGAGGACAGTCATACTATTATACTAGTTGGTAGAACTCTTATTTTAAAAAAAATAATTTTAATGTTTTTGGTTACATTTTAAGTTTCAAAGTGTTTCCCTTCCTTCTCATCCCATACTAGAGAAGGCTACCATTTGACACAGATTCATAAATATATGTAAAACCATTCTATTCATACTTCTATTTATCAGTTACTTCTCTGGGGGGGATAGTGGCTTCATTGATCCTTTGTAGTTGATTTGAGTATTTATGATCAAAATAACTTAGTCGTTCATAGTTATTCTTTGAACAATATTGTTGTTACTATATACACTGTTCTCTTGGTTTTCTTCATTTCACTTTTCATTATTTCTTGCAAGTCTGTCTTGTTTTTCTAAAATCAACCAGCTCATCATTTCTTAGAGCACAGTAGTATTCCATCACAATCATGTACCACAACTTGTTTAGCCATTCCCAAATTGATGGGCATCCCCTCAATTTCCAGTTCTTTGCCACCACAAAGACAGTTGCTATAAATATTTTGCAACATATAGGTTCTTTTCCTTTTTCCCTGATCACCTTGAGAAACATGGTAGAATTCTTAGAAGCAGTTTAGAAGTAAACCCCTCAAAGTCACTAAACCCTGCTAGCCTTTGATTCAGCAATATCACTACTAGACATATACTCCAAAGAGATTACCTTGGCTACAATTATCTTAGTTAAAATTATGTATACAGAAATGAAATGAATACACAAAGATAATTGAAAGAGGCTTAGAAAGAAGGAATAATAACAAAATTGTTATGGCTACTTGTTGAAAGTCAAAATTAGTTTTTAATATTTGAAAGCTAAATTAATAATTAACTTTTTAAAAAAGAATAATAGAGATACTGAATGTTACCCAAGGTCACACTGTGAGATGCGGGTACTAGGAAGGCAGAATCCAGTTTTTCTGATTGTTAATACATTATTTTTTTCCGTTAAACACTACTGCCTTCCTAATATGATTGAATCACTACTTATAATTCCTTGTTTTGTCTTGGACTTTTCAGGAGGTTTAACTTTTTTTTTTTTTCTCATAATTCCATTCGGGCTTTGAAAAAAATTCCATCAGCTCCTCATTGGATACAGTGCTGCTTCTTTTTATGCCTGGCCCATCTATTCTATTCATTGCTTTTTAAAACCAAAGTTGTTGGTAGATAAGAGACATCTTGATTTCATGATAAGAAGAAAAAAGAAATTTGTGAATCATTAGGTTATTTTTTGAAAATCTTTAAAGATTTAGGGGGGGATCTAGGTGGCGTAGTGTATAGAGTACTGACCCTGGAGTCAGGAGGAAATGAGTTCAAATCCAGCCTCAGACACTTGACACTTACTGTGTGACCCTGAGTGAGTCACGTAACCCCAGTTTCCTCATCAAAAAAAAAAAAACCAACTCCAAAACTTTTAGAATTTATGAAGTCAGTGAGTCAAGAATATTCGTGTGTGTGTGTGTGTGTGTGTGTGTGTGTTTCATAGAATTTAGCTATGTTATAATATTGCAGTGCTCAGGTAATATGGTGTCCTCCTTTATTTTGTATTTTTTTTTTGTTTTTTATTTTTGCTAGGCCGTGGGGTTAAGTAAGACTTGCCCAGGGTCACACAGTTAGTAAGTGTTATGTGTCTGAGGCCAGATTTGAACTCAGGGCCTGAGTTCCTGAATCCAGGGTCAGTGCTCTATCCACTGTGTCACCTAGCGGTGTCCCAGTGTCCTCCTTTAAAGTAACTTTTTTTTTTATTAAGCACTTACTGCATACACATTGTTTTTATAGACCTTGTTGGCCACCCAGAGAAATTTCTACAATTCCTCCCCTTGAGAAGCTTATGGGGTGATAAGATACACAGGTAAATAACAATAAAGAGGTAACATTTCAGTATGAGGTTTCACAAGATGGTATCTGATATATGGCTAAAATGAATAGCATTAGACAGTGGATGCTCTAGGATTTCAGAGGCTCATGGTTCAAGTTGCAGTGTTTGAAGAGGGCTTTAAGACAGACAGCGCAGTTTGACTGAAACTAGACTTCACTGGACTGGGAGTCCAGATACTATCTCACTAGTCTTTGTACCTCTTAGTATAAGAATTAAATTAAGTGCTTTTCTCTTAATCTCCCTGTTTTCCTGAGAATCTTTAAGACCTTCTATGTTCTCTTTAACACATTTTTGTAGCTATAGTTGCCCCTCTGATAGTCAAGATTTTTTTGGATTTAGTCCTGAATCTGTCTTCAACTGTCTGTGTAAACTTTGTCCCTCTGGGCCGTAATTGGACTAGATAATCTGAAAGCCTGTTTCTAGTTCTAAAATTATATTTTCTTGAATTGGTACATTTTGAACTGAGTGAAAAAAAAAATAGGGAGATGGGGCAGCTAGGTGGTGCAGTGGATAGAGCACAGGCCCTGGATTCAGGAGGACCTGAGTTCAAATGCAGCCTCAGACACATAACACTTACTAGCTGTGTGACCCTGGGCAAGTCACTTAACCCCATTGTCTAGCCGCTCCCCCCCAAAAAAAAAATAGGGAGAAGGAGGCATTCCGCACTGTAGTTGCAATCCAATTTGTAGTTATAGTCAATCCTCAACTTTCGTGGGGGTAACATTCTTAGAAAAAGGTGTGAAAGTAAAACATACAAATGTTGACACATTGAATGTTAGGTTTCCGTGACCAACTTAAAAAAAAAACCCCAGCTGTAATCTTTCACTAGAGATTGCTGAAAATACACTTTTATGGATACAATTCTTTATAACAAAACATTAATTCTGATAATGGGTACTTTTCCTAACAAAGTAACCATGAAATAACCCATAAAATGCAGTACACAAAATAAAATTGGTAAAGTGCAAAACATCTTTTTTCACTAATAATTCCCTGGAATTAAATTTTTGTGCTAATATCTCAATGAAGGAAACAAAAACCATTGACTTCAGACAGTATTAACTTTTCGTAACATATGAAATCTACTGTACCACAAGTATTGTATAGCAAATAAAAGTCTTAAAAACTAAAACATTTTTTAACCTGAATCTTACCTTAATTCCACTGTGTCAGATAACAGTGTGAAGGTGTTGTACTGTTTACTCTACAGCTATAAACCTCTCTACCTTTGCTGTCCTCTGAAAACCAAGGGAGAGGCTTTTGGGACTTTAGTAACTACTGTCAGAAGATGCCAAGACTAGTGAGTTCTCAGTATCACTTTAGAGCCCAAAGGACTTGCACTACACTTTAGGACTATAATTGCAACACAAAACTTGAAGTTTTAAAGGCAAACAATAAAAATATGCAAAAAATGCCTGGGAATTTTTTACAATGGTAGATGAACAAGACCAGTGAAACGCCTAGTAGTACACCAGCAGCTCTACAAACTTGCGCTCATTGTACCTCTCATTTTTTTCTCTACTGTGCATAGCTATGAATGTGTGTAGTTGCCAACACAAGAGTGAAAATGATGAGGTTAGTAGTAAAATCATGTGAATGCTTGAAGTTATGAAAGTTCAACGTGCCAATGTTGAGGACTGACTGTTCTGAAAGAGTTTGTGGGAGAAGGTCAGAAGAGGTACACAGGAAATTTTATTCCTACTTTGTTCAATTTAATATGTACTTTTTAAAATGTACGTAACCAAAGTTCATGGGTTCATATATAAGCTTGTTCTCTACGTATTAAAATATAATTTTTGCTGATAAGATAATAATAATTGTTAGCTGAAGGTAAGACAGTCTACCTAGATGTGGACTATCATTGCTGATTATTAGTTTATTTCTTACTGACTGGCCATAGTAACTGTAACAAACTATCAACAAGTTTAAAAAAAATTAAAGGGTAGGACAAATGTATTTGCGTGTGTTTATCATTAGTACCTTTTATACAGTTTGTAGTTTTAATGAGTTGCCCGGGTCACTGAGAGGTTGAGATTGACCAGAGATGCCATACCCAGTGTGTGTCAGAGGCAGGACTATCAAGGCTGGCTGACTATCTCACTATTTCTTGCTTCCTCTTTAAACCAGAATTATTAGGTGAAAATAAGTGCTTTTCACTTGATTTCTGAGGCTAGATTTTAAAATCAGTCCTTCCTGGCTCCAGGTTCACTGCTCTATCCACTTGAATACTGAGCTCCCCTCATTATCTTCTGAAAAGTTGTGTAAGGCAGACTGGATCCATGGGGGTCATGGCCAGAGCTTTGAGTACAGCCAAAATAGAATGGAAACCAAGTAAACAAGGGCCAGAATTAAGCTAGATTTTAATATTTCTTATTGAAGGGGGAGGGCTAAGAGGGGTACAGCAAACTGAAATAATTTATTTATTCTACTTACCTACCTCTGCTAGAATGCTATGGAAGGACATAGAAGAAGTAATAAATATGGACAAAATATAAGTTGGATGTAGCCAATGTGAAGTTTTTTACCTCTGCTTACTTGTACTTCACAAACTATTGGGGAATCTCTTCTCTTATTGGTTTAGTTAAAATATTTATAATTACATTCACCTTGGTGGAATGGCAGTTGATTTTAGATTTAGTGTAACTTATTACAGAAATAGTTTTTTTATTCTTTGTATTTTATGCAAAAAAAAAAAACCAGCTTCCTTTGTTTTGATTGTAATTTTTGGAGAAGTTTGAGTTTAACTTTGCATTTAACTTACATTTTGGTTCTTGTTACAGATTTTAACTGCCTTTGAATGCTACTATAGGTATGGAGAAGATTGAAGAATATTTTGCAGATTTGTCCATCGCTAAACGTTCTGCAGTGACTAAAGAGCCCACTTACCTTCTCGACATAGACACTTCAAAAAATGTACAAGAAGAAAATGGATGCATAGTTGCTGTTTCATGTTCCAATGGATCAGTTAGACTATATAATAGAGAGACCCTAAGTTTGTTAAGGGAGCTTAATGGACAGCCTGGACTGCTTAAAGGAGTCAAATTTGCACATTCCTATTCCCATGTATTTTCAGCATGCACAGATGGCACTGTAAAATGTTGGGATATGCGCTTATCTGGCAAAACACCAGTACAGGTGTTTAAGGGTTATCCTTCCAATGTTTTCATCAGTTTCGATATTAATTGTAATGATCATGTAATTTGTGCTGGCACTGAAAAAGTTGGTGATGATACTTTGATGGTATTCTGGGATGCAAGAATTAGCTCTCAAAGTACACGCCCTGTAAAAGACCCATTAGGTGTTTATTCAGAGACACACAGTGATGATATAACCCAGGTATGTTTTCATCCTGACAACCCTAACATGATAGTCTCAGGATCAACTGATGGACTTGTGAATGTTTTTGATGTAAGCGTTGACAATGAGGAAGATGCCCTGATTGCAACTTGTAACTCTGGTTCATCAGTAAGTTATGTTGGTTGGTCTGGGAAGGAATACAAACAGATTTACTGTATGACACATGATGAAGGATTTTGTTGGTGGGATCTTACCAATTTAGATACTGATCAACCAGTTACATGTTTGAATATCCAGGATGTCAGAGAAGTAATTAATGTGCGTAATGGAAGTCTGGATTATTTGGTTGGTGGCTTATACCATGAAAAAACAGACCAATTGTTGGTTGTTGGAGGTACAAATACAGGAACTATTCACCTATTAAACTGTGACTCTTCAGGATTGACGTACATGAGAAGCCTTGAGGGAGGGCATTCTGCCACAGTTCGTTCCTTCTGTTGGAGTGTGCAGGATGATTCTTTACTAACTGGTGGAGAGGATGCACAACTGTTACTTTGGAAACCTGGAGCTACTGAAAGGACTCTTGCAAAGAAGGATAACATGAAAATAGCTTCCTCTGTGCAGAAACGTGTTAGAGTTCACAGTAATGATTCTTACAAAAGTAGGAAAAAGCATAGTTGTTAAAATTGTTTGATCTTGCTTGGTCTTGTTTCAATTATTTTTGCATATACTATTTCTACTATATATTATAGCCTTTATGCAGAAATGGACTGATTTGTAAATAAGCTTTTTGAAGGACAGAGAGAACTTTGATTTAGATAGAGCTTGAAATGTCATAAAACAAAACAGTTCTGAATTCAAAAGAACAGTCTGAATATCATTAATTTTTAAAAACTAATCATTGTTAAATTAAAAGATGATATATTTTTAAATTAAATTAATTTTAAAGCAAGCCTATTCTTGAGTTAAGAAACTAATGAGAGTTTTATTGACTTGTTTCTCTATTCAGGATTTTTCAAAGCTAAGGTTTTTGGTTTTTTTTTTAACATCAACTTTTTTTTTAAGCCCTGAATTAAATTATGCATTGGGCAGCTACTGCTTAATAGGTATATTTTGTTCTATATTATTTACCTTGATAGTTGTATGTAACAATCTAAATAGAATTGAATTTTAAAAAATAAATGGTAAATATATATTTTTCAAAATGAGTAAAATATTTAAGCCTTTATTTGAACTTCTTTTTTGTCTTTTTTTTTTTTTTAGTTCTCAACATTCACTTTTATAAGATTTTGAGTTCCAAATTTTTTTCTCCCTTCCTCCCCCCTCCCCAAGATGGCAAGCAATCTGATATAGGTTATACATGTATAATCATAATACACATATTAACAAATTAGTCCTGTAGTGAAAGAAGAATCTGAACAAAAGGGGAAAACCACGAGAAAGAAAAAAAGAAAAAAAAAGTGAAAATAGTATGCCTTGATCTGCATTCAGACTCCATAGTTCTTTTTCTAGATGTGGATAGCATTTTCCATCATGAGTCTTTTGGAATTGTCTTGGATCCTTGTATTGCTGAGAAGAGCTAAGTCTGTCACAGTTGATCATCACAGAATATTGCTGTTACTGTGTACAATATTCTCCTGCTTCTCACTTCATGCAAGTTCATGTAAGCATTTACAGGTTTTTCTGAAATCTGCCTGCTCATCATTTCTTATAAGCACAATAGTATTCCATTATATTCAGACTATACCACAACTTGTTTAGCCATTCCCTAGTTGATGGGCATTCCCTCGATTTCCACTTCTTTGCCATCCCCCAAAAAGGGCTGGTATAAATATTTTTGTACATATGGGTCCTTTTAACTTTTTTATGATCTCTTTGGGATACAGACCTAGTAGTGGTATTGCTGGATCAAAGGGTATACATGGTATGGTTGCCTTTTGAGTATAGTTTCAAATTGTTTTTCAGAATGGTTGGATCAGTTCACAACTCCACCAACAATGCATTAGTGTTCCAATTTTCCCACGTTCTCCAACATTTATTATTCTCCTTTTCTGTCATATAAGCCAGTCTGATAGGTGTGATGTGGTACCTCAGAATTGTTTTAATTTGCATTTCTCTAATCAATAGTGATTTAGAGCATTTTTTCATATGACTATAGGTAGTTTAAATTTCTTTATCTGAAAACTCCCTGTTCATATCCTTTGACCATTTATCCATTGAGAAATGACTTGTATTCTTGCTGTAAAAATTGTTTCCCAGCTTTTTGCTTTTCTTCTAATCTTGATTGCTTTGGCTTTGTGCAAAAACTTTTTAATATAATCAAAATTATTCATTTTGCAGTTCATATTCTATATCTCTTATTTAGTCATAAGTTCTTCCCTTCTCCATAAATCTGACAGATAAACTATTCTTTGTTCTCCTAATTTGCTTATGGTATCATGAGTAAAATTTCTAATTTTCTATATTTTATTGTAATTGAATTTTCTATATTTTATTGTAATTGAAAAAAAATAGCATCAAGGTAGATGGCAAGAAGATGGCTTGAGGTAAGAGGGACAGATGGTTAGAAGGGATATGAACCATACAGAGTTGCTGAAGTGGAGCTACCCAGGTACAGTGGGCTAAGTGAGTTTGTGCTCACCAATGAAGATGGTTCAGTCCAGGCTTGAGTTCCAAAGCTGAGTATATATTCTTGGAAACTTTATCTCATTAAAAATGTCATTTTGATCTATAATAATATTTTTTAAAAATTTTTTTATTTTTAGTTTTAAACATTCACTTCCATAAGCTTTTGAGTTTTAAATTTTCTCCCCCTCCCTCCTCACTTCCCTCCCAAGATGGCATGCAATCTGATATAGGCTCTACATATACATTCCTAGTAAACTTACTTTCACATTAGTCATGTTGTAAAGAAGAATTAGAACCAATAGGAGAAACCACAAGAAAGAAGAAACAAAACAAAAAAGAAGGAAAAAAAAGAGCAAATAGTATGCTTCGATCTACATTCAAACTGCATAGTTATTTCTCTGTATGTGGATAGCATTTTCCATCATGAGATTTTTGGAGATGTCTTAGATCCTTGCATTGCTGAGAAGAGCTAAGTCTGTCAAAGTTGATCATTGCACAATGTGGTTGTTACTGTGTGCAATGTTCTCCTGGTTCTGTTCATTTCACTCTGCATCAGTTCATAAGTCTTTCCAGGTTTTTCTGAAATCTGCCTGCTCATCATTTCTTATAGCAGTATTCCATTACACTCATATACCACAACTTGTTCAGCCATTCCCCAACTGATGGACATCCCCCTCAATTTCCAATTCTTTGCCACCAGAAAGAGCTGCTATAAATATTTTTGTACATGTGGGTCCTTCTAGAAGTGGTATTGGTGGGTCAAAGGGTATGCACATTTTTATAGCCTTTTGGGCATAGTTTCAAATTGCTCTCCAAAATGGTTGGATGAGTTCACAACTCCACCAACAATGTATTCATGTCCCAATTTTCCTACATCTTCTCCAACATTTATCATTTTCCTGTTTTGTCATTGTTAGCCAACGTGATAGGTGTGATATGGTACCTCAGGGTTGCCTTGATTTGCATTTCTCTAATCAATAGTGGTTTAGAGCATTTTTTCATATAACTATAGATAGCTTTAATTTCTTCATCTGAAAATTTCCTGTTATATCCTTTGACTATCAATTAGGGAATGACTTGTATTCTTATAAATTTGACTTAGTTCTCTATATATTTTAGAAATGAGGTCTTTATCAGAGACACTGATTGTAAAAATTCTTTCCTAATTTTCTGCTTCCCTCCTAATCTTGGTTGCACTGGCTTTGTTTGTGCAAAAAACTTTTCAATTTAATGTAATCAAAATTATCCATTTTGCATTTCATAATGTTCTCTAACTCCTGTTTGGTCATAAATTCCCCTGTTCTCCATAAATCTGACATATAATGATAATTTTTAAATGGAAATTTAATAGAATTAGAGCTGGAGGTGACCTTAGAGATTATCTAGTTCAGGGATGGGGAACCTGTGTCCTGGAGGCCACATGTGGTCTTCTAGGTCCTTGGGTGTGGCCTTTTTACTGAGTCCAAGTTTTACAGAACAAATCCTTTTATTAAGGGGATTTGTTCTGTGAAGTTTGATTCAGTCAAAGGGTCATACTTGAGAACGTAGAGGGCCATGTGTGGTCTTGAGGCTGTGAGTTTCCCACCCCTGATCTAGTACAACTTTTTTACACATGAGGGATAGGGAAGCTTACGGACTTAACCTGAGGTTAAGTAGTAAGCATGCCATCTAAATCATTGATAAAAGTATTGAACAGTGGCGGGGCTAAACTATAGATCCTTGGCACCTTATTAGTGACCTCTTAAGCTGATTCTGAACCATTAGTGACTATTCTTTGGAATAGAAATAGAATTTTTGAATTAGAAATAAATTTTGGATTAAACATTTTGATGGGGATGGGTTGGGATAAAAGTTGTTTTTAAGAAGGAATTAAGAACTGATGAATAGGCAGATTTCATTAAAACCTGGAAAAACTTATGCAAACTGTTGCAAAGTGAAATGAGCAGAATCGGGAAAACATTGTACCTAACCCTAATCAGTATCAGTAACATTTGTGTGATGATCAGCTATAAATGACTCAGCTTTTCTCAGCAACACAATGGTCCAAGACAAGTACAAAGGATTCACAAAAGAAAATGCTATCCATATCCAGATAAAGAACTGAGGGACTGATGGTTTATTTCCTTTTGATTTGGTTCTTCACAACTGTGACTAATATGGAAATATGTTTTACATGACAGCACATGTATAACCCATATCAAATTGCCTACCTTTTTCTGAAGAGGGGAGGGAAAGAGCGAGAAAAATTTGAAACAAATCTTGTAAAAAATGAATGCTAAAAATTGTCTTGATATGTAATGGAAAAGCATACTATTAAAAAAAAGAAGGAATTATGGTGCGGAGTCCGGAGATGCCTGAGTTGAAATCCCACTCCCAGCAATTAGCTGTTTGCCTCTAGGGGACAGCAGCTCTGTTATAAAACAGCTTTGACTACCTGTGTGATAGTCAACTTACTGTCATGCCTTGAGTTTTGCTTGTCTGCTTAAGTTTCTTTTTGCCAAAAATTAACTTCTCTTGACTTTTGCAGCCCATGTCTCAGAAAAAAGTCATGTCCCTCATTTCTTGCTTCCCCCTTGAAGTGCCTTGTATAAGACTATCTCAGCAGATAAGGCATGAGGCCACTGCTAGTATTTTTCCATTCTGCTGTTTTTTGGTACATCAGAGCCTCTCCTTTGAGCGAGGTTATGAACCAGCTTAACACTGGGGCAATGTTCTGCTTGTCCCTTTGATTAATGGAGCCTACGGTACAGGAGTACTTTCCAGAGTACAGGAATACTGAGTAGGGCTGCTGCTTCAGAACTGGGGGGAATGGCCCTCTGAGCTGCTGATTTCCACTTGATCCTATGCATTTTCCAATAAATATCAATCAATAAACATTTATTAAGCATGTACTGTATGTCTGGCACTGTACTAAGTGCTGAGGCTATAAAGAGGCAAAAGCCAGTACCTGCCCTCAAGGAGCTCACATCTTAGTACTTTGTCAGTCGCTTTCAGCAACTTGTTATTTGGACTGGAGCTCTGAACAGCTAGACCATCAAGCTAACAGAGACCTCAGTTAAGTTTCTTAACTTCTTTGAACCTCAGTCTGTCATCTATAAGATGGGAATAATGAGTGGTAAATATCAACTGAGAATAATGTATGTAAAGAACTTGTAAACTTTAAATATTGGTTTTGCATTCAGCTTTTGAAGTGAATAAAACATTTTAATTGACCTTATAGGTTTTTAAAAATATTAAATAGAAAATTGAGATCTGAGAAACTACTTTCCTATGAACACTAGCAGTACTAATGTATAAATCTTCAGATGGTCAATTAACTTACTTTCTTATTTAAGTCGTCCA